CCCCCCCCCTCCCAACCGGCGCACTCCTCCCCTTATGCAAATGGCCGGGATGGCACCACGGGCTGATGCAAGCTGGCCACGGCGCAGCCACCGCCGCGACATTGGCCCGAACGCCTCCTGCCCTGCGCCGCCTGCACCGGGCCGCCCCCGCCATGGGGCGCGCGTCCGCACGGCCCTCCCGCAGAGCCGCCCCCCCCGGGCTGCGATGGGCAGCGGCCACCGCGCCCCGCAGGAGCCGAAGGAATGGTGCGGGGGGCGGTGGGAGAGGGGTGGGCCGAGGGGAGTCCAGAGGGGCCCGTGCTGAGCGATTCCGTGTGCGTGCGTGTGTCTTTCAGGACATCGATTTGATTGACATCCTGTGGAGACAGGACATCGATCTGGGCGCCGGGAGAGAGATTTTTGACTACAGCCACCGGCAGAAAGAGAGCGAAGTGGACAAAGAGCTGAGCGATGGGAGGGAGCGCGGGGACGGCTGGAGGAGCGCGGGAGGACAGGTCACCAATAGGAACCTGCTAGTGGATGGCGAGACCGGGGAGAGCTTCCCTGCGCAGGTAACGGAACGGCTGGCATCCAGCACAGCTTCTGCTGCACTGCACTGCCAGCTCAGGGCCCCCTCCGGCCCCAAGCCAGTGCTGGGAGCACCTCGGAAGCATTGGGTGGGGCCTCTGGCTCTTTTTTGGATGCGCTGTAATGAAGCTGTGCTGTAGGAGCTTTTTTTTTTTCATCGCCTCCTTCCTAATCCTGGGGCTGTGGTCGCTTGTGTTTCCCATCAGGTGCCTGGCGTGGAGGATCAGACGGCCCTGTCCCTGGAGGAGTGCCTTAGGCTGCTGGAGGCCACCTTCCCTTTTGGGGAGAACTCGGAGGTGAGCGAGGATGGGGTTGTGGTGCCGCTTGTACCCCTCATGGAGAGCGCAGGGCTGGCAGTAAATTGGGTTAGGCTGTTTAAGGAGGCTCCAGGCATCGTGCCTGCAAAAGTAGCAGCGGGGGGAGGGTGTGGGGTGGTCACAATTAATTAAAGACTTCTGGCTTTGCTTCTAATTAGTTCATAGCGAACTGCGGAGGAATAACTGCAACCGCTTTGCTCTGAACAAAGGAGAAGCGATTGCCGGCGTGGAGGTGGAAGGGCATTGGGGCTGGCTGCCTCCCTGGCCGCGGCTCATCAGCTGGGGACTGACTGTGCCTCACGTGGTTCAGTTTCCAGCTGCAGATGTCTCCACCCTAAGCGAAGCTGTGCCCAGCGAGAGCCGGCCTGCGGGCATCCAGAGCAGCCTGCTGTCTCCTCTCCTCCCAGAGGCTGAGTCGCCCTTCGATCTGGAGCAGCAGTGGCAGGACCTCATGTCTATCATGGAAATGCAGGTCAGCGCACCCTGGGGTGGCAGCTGCTGGTGCTGGAGGGTTGGCAGTGGGAAGGGGTTTGCCCTTCCAGGCGCACGTTATCACTCAGCTGAGGTTAGGGGAGGTCCAGTGGCTGTTCCAAGCACCCAGCTCCTGGAGAATGGCAGTTGGAGGTTCGGAACAGCAGCTTTGGTTTTGTCATAGGCTGTGCGGTGACATTGAGTGCCCGTGTGGATGTTGCTGGCAGTGTCTTAAACCTCCTGCAGCTGGCGGATGGTGCTGGGCTTACTGGAGATGTAGCTCCTTCCATGAGAGCTAGAAACGCCGTGTCTTTGGTGTATCCTGGTGGTGAAGGGCAGTGAAAAGGCAGGGCCTGAACGTGGTTGATTTGCTGATCTGCTTCGTGTCTCTTCCAGGCTATGGAAGTGAACAGCACGACCGCTGAAACCCTTTACAACGGCACAAGCGGAGACCTGCTGACTTCTAACTACAACCTCGCCCCAAACACTCCCATCAATCAGAATGTCAGCCTGCATCAGGCCTCTCTGGGCAGCTGCTCACAGGACTTCTCCCTCTTCAGCTCTGAAATTGAAAGCCCTTCCATGGGTGGCAGCTCAGCGCTGCTGCAACTGACGCCGGATAACTCCACTGGCCTCAACACCACCTTCAGCTCCACCAACTTCAGTGGGATCTTCTTCCCCCCACAGCTGAACAGTACGGTGAATGAGACGGCGGGCCCTGAGCTGCCGGACCCGCTGGGCGGCCTTCTTGATGAAGCCATGCTTGATGAGATCAGCTTGATGGATTTGGCCATCGAAGAAGGATTCAACCCAGTGCAGGCCTCGCAGCTGGAAGAGGAGTTTGATTCTGACTCAGGTCTTTCTCTGGATTCTGGCCACAGTCCTGCTTCCCTTAGCAGCTCAGAAGCCTCTTCCTCTTCTTCTTCCTCCTCTTCCTCCTCCTCCTCCTCTTCCTCTTCCTCCTCATTTTCTGAGGAAGGAGCTGTCGGCTACAGCTCAGACTCTGAAAACGTGGACTTTGAAGAAGCGGAAGGGGCGGTTGGGTACCAGCCTGAGTACAGCAAGTTCTGCCGCATGAGCTACCAGGACCCGTCGCAGCTCCACTACTTGCCTTACCTGGAGCACGTGGGCCACAACCACACCTACAACATGGCACCGGGGACCCTGGATCCCGAGGAGCCCAAGCTGCCCAGCGTGGGGAAGAAGAGCAGCAAGGAGAAACCATCCGAGTTCCTGGATAAGCAGATGAGCAGGGATGAGCATCGAGCCAGAGCCATGAAGATCCCTTTCACCAACGACAAGATCATCAACCTGCCCGTGGAGGAGTTCAATGAACTGCTCTCCAAGTACCAGCTCAGCGAGGCGCAGCTGAGCCTCATCCGAGACATCAGGAGGCGAGGCAAGAACAAGATGGCTGCCCAGAACTGCCGCAAGAGGAAGCTGGACACCATCCTGAACCTGGAACGCGACGTGGAGGACTTGCAGAGGGACAAGTCCAAACTGCTCAGGGAGAAGGTGGAGTTCCTCAAGTCCATCCGCCAAATGAAGCAGAAGGTGCAGAACCTCTACCAGGAGGTGTTCGGCCGGCTGCGGGATGAGAACGGCCAGCCCTACTCCCCCAATCAGTACGCCCTGCAGTACGCCAGCGACGGCAGCGTCATCTTGATACCTCGCACCTTGGCTGACCAGCAGGCCAGGAGGCAGGAGAGGAAACAGAAGGACCGCAGGAAGTGAGGGAGGCACGCGGGAGGAGTGGGAGAATCGCTCAAGGTAGAACTGGAGAAGGGCTGAGCCTGGAAGTGCTTAGAGGAACTTTCATGCCTTCTTATCCAATATATCTTCTCAAACGTGACTGCTGCCGGTCAGTGTACAGGAGGGACTGCGGCCGAGCGCTCCCTGTGGGGAGGGACGGGGAGGAGCGGACAGTGCACTGGCGAGCCCAGCACCTTCCACAGCCTGGAATCCTTTGAGCGCAGGAAATCAGCTGGCATCACTGGTGGGGAGATGAGCGGAGGTGGAAAAACTACTGTTAGGAACTGGCTTTAAATAAGAAAAGAGATTTAAGCAAATGAACTTTAAAACCAAGCGATAGGAGAGACATTTTTCTGAACTTCCAAAGTTCTGTGATTTCAGGTAGTTGTTTTTTTTTTTGTTGTTTTTTTCCTGTTTTTTTTTTTTTTAATTTTTTTTTCTTTTTTTTTTTTTTTCCCGAACCAGTTTTGACATCAGTGTGTGTGATTCAACCCGACTTAATTCCAGATTAGCCACCATCCCTTTCTAGATCAGACCAGTGCACACATGGCAACACGAGTGGTGCGGCCTTCCATTAACCCTTCCAGCTCTGAGGAAGCTTGCGGAGGGCTGTGCTGCCTTGGGGCCTGGAGCTGGAGCTCTGGAGTGGGTTTGAAGGGGGGGGGGGTGGAACTGGGAAGGGTTAACAGGAGCTGTGCATCCCCACCACACTCACTGAGCATGTCACTGCCGCGCAGGGCCGCTGTCGAGGAGGGCACTCAGCAGCCTGCATGCAGCCGCTGTCTTCTCCTACTGACTGGCTGAGAAAGCTTTGGGGGCCACGGGGTGGGTGTGCAGCAGCAGGGACAGCACGCAGAGCCGTGGGCTTGTCACTTATAGAACTAGACATCTGTTAGGATTCCTGTTTCTTAACCGTGCTTTGATTTGATTTTATTTTTTTTTTAGGGCTTCAGCCCTGTTTTCCCTATAGGGTCTAGAGTGCTTGTGTTGAGTAAAAGGGAGAAGCCCGAACGTTCAAAGCTGCTAATTGTTCTCTTTGCCATAAAGATTCAGTGTAACCGTGTGATCACATTATAGGATTCTCTTCTGTCCCTAGGTGTTGGTCTGACTTCCTTTGTTTTAAGGAGGGGGGTGGGGGTAGTGCCTTGATCACTGTTGGTCTCCTCCATGGAGACGATCCTAGAAGCTGTATTTACAATATAGCACAGCTGGGAGTGACTTTACCAGCAACTGAATAGCTTAAAATGGCTTTCCTAGCCAGTCCTGTGCATGTGATACGGGCTGAGGGTGTAGCACTGAGGGGGACGGCGCTGAGGAGGTGCGGGCAGCAGCTCTGCAGGGAACCCAGCGGTGC